AGTAGAAAGATTCATTCACAGGCTTCTTCTTCTTCTTCTTCTTCTTTTTTTTTTTTTTTTTGAGACAGGGTCTCACTCTGTCATCCAGGCTGACATGGAGTGGTGCAATCATGGCTCACTGCAGCCTCGAATTCCCAAGCTCAAATGATCCTCCCAAGTAGCTGGGACTACTGCAGGTACATGCCACCATGCCCAGTCAATTAAATTTTTTTTTTTTTTGTAGAGATAGGGTTTTGTTAACAGGTCTTGTAGAGATGAGGTTTCCCAGGCTGGTCTCAAACGTCTGGGCTCCAGTTCCCAAGGACATTTTCCTTAGGAACTTACCATGGAAATAATGAAGAATCAATCTCAGCCTGTGTATGTGCACATACATGAGCATACACATGCATGCATACTCATGCTCTCACTCACTATGTGCCCAACAATTCTTCTTTTTTAGTAGTTATAAAATAAGTTTATTATCAGTCAGCCACCAAAGAATAGTAGGATAGTAGGATAGTGAAATAATTATGAAAAGTATATCTGGGAGATAAAATTAGAACTTGAACATTCCCCCAAAACTGTAAAATAAACTCAATGTTTATAGGCTTCAATAAGGAAAACAAAACAAAACAAAACAAATCTCTAAACATTTCCATTGAGAGACTTCACAATTGACTTAAGATATAAGTTTTGTTACAGGACTCAATATACAGTAGTTTTGTTACAGAACTCAATATATGCCCAACAATTCTATTTCTGTGACCATCTCCTTCCATTATAAGAGATGTGACTTTTGTTGAAAAGTGTGTGTGCGTGTGTGTGTGTGTGTGTGTGTGTGTGTTTTAGAATTAGGCAAGCTCTGAGATAAGGTTCCAGGGAAACAAAATACAAGGCTAAATACAGTCAGATCTCGTTTATGGGGTATGGAACAGATTGATGGGCCATTTGTATTATTTGTAGTTAAGGGTCAGTGGAGACCTAGACTCACCAGCTCCCTCCCCTACTTAGCTCAGAAATCAGCCAGCAACTGGAAACAAGCTTCCCACCAAGGAGAGTGCAAGAACCAACTTGTTCACAACAGATTGAGTGTGTGTGTGTGTGTGTGTGTGTGTGTGTGTGTGGTGGGAGGGATGGTCTTTGGAGCCCTAGCTCTAGAACTCTCTCTTACTAGGTACCAAGAAATTCCAGCTCCAAGATGTGCCTCCTTTCCTTTCAGATGTAGTTGGTGGTAGAGTAATGTATGATTGTAAGCAGAATTACTCAGTGAGGTCTTGTTTTGTGAAAAAAATTTATTTCCCCTCATATAGTTATAAGTCACTACAATTTTGTTTCAATGGAGGTATCGAGGACCTATTCCTGGTGCCAATGCTAGATTAAATAAGAAGTGAATGTATTATTAATGCATGCATGTACAAGAGCAATGATATAGTCTTTGGTAATCCATTTTCCTTCTATGCTGTTGGGTTCCTGAAAACAAATGAGAATTTTTTTGACCCAGGAAAATGTATAACAAATGTGATTCCATACTCAATACCAACAGATATGCTGGATATTTACTTAGGTTTCTAACAATGGCAGGATTTTTCACACCATGGACATACTTCTACTGCATCCTTTCTGAACGTATTTGAAAACTTCATTAAAGGATATACTGAGTGACCAAACAAACCAACACTAAGAAATCAAATAATCCCATTAAAAAGTGGGCAAATGACATGAACAGATATTTCTCAAAAGAAGACATACAAATGGTCAAAAGGTACATGAAAAATTTTTAACATCCCTAATCCCCAAAGAAGTGCAAATCAAAACCACAATGAGATATCATCTTACTCCAGTTAGAATGTCTATTATTAAAAAGATGAAAAATAACAAATGCTGGTGAGGATGCAAGGAAAAGGGCACTTTTATACACTGTTAGTAGCAATGTAAATTAGTGCAGCCACTAGGGAAAACATATGAAGATTTCTCAAAAACTAAAATAGAATTACCATATGGTTCAGTAATCCCACTACTGGGTATTGTTCCAAAGGAATAAATATAGGAGATCAGTATATCAAAGAGATACCTGCACTCACATGTTGATTGCAGCACTATTTACAACAGCAAAGACAAAGACTCAACTGAAGTGTCCATCAAGGGACCAATGGATACATGAAATGTGGTATATGTAGACAATGGAATACTCTTCGACTATAAAAAAGAATAAAATCCTGTCATTTGCAGCAACATGGACAGAAGTGGAGATCATTATGTTAAATGAAACAAGCCAGGACCAGAAAGACAGAAATAACATGTTCTTACGCATATGTTGGAGCTAAAAACGTTGATTCCATGGAGATAGATAGAAGAATGATAGATAATAGAGAGTTGGGAGAGTGAGGAATGGGGAATGAAGAGAGGTAGGTTAATGGGTACAAATATAGAGTTAGATAAAAGATAGAAGTTCTATTGCTTGACAGCAGAGTGACTACAGTTGACAACAATGTATTGTATATTTCAAAGAAGCTAGATGAAATAACTAGAATTGTTCCCAACACACAGAAATGATAAATATTCAAAGTGATGGATACCTCAAATACCTTGACTTGATCATTACACATTCTATGCATGTAACAAAATAAATATGTACCCCATAAATATGTAAATTATTATGTATCAATTAGAAATTCAAAAAGATACATGAAGAAAAAAAAAATTAAGTTATACTGAGTTGGGCTGGGCATGGTGGCTCACACCTGTAATCCCAGCACTTCTGGAGGCCAAAGCGGGCGGATCACCTGAGGTCGGGAGCTCAAGACCAGTCTGACCAACACGGAGAAACCCCGTCTCCACTAAAAATACAAAATTAGCCAAGCGTGGTGGCACATGACTATAATCCCAGCTACTCAGGAGGCTGAGGCAGGAGAATCGCTTGAACCCGGGAGGCAGAAGTTGCAGTGAGCCCAGATCGCGGCTTTCCTCTCCAGCGTGGGTAATAAGAGCAAAACTCCATCTCAAAAAAAAAAAAAAAAAAAAAAAAAAGATAAAATACTGAGTCAACATGGTGGATCATCCTGGTCAATTAATCAATATAAAGCAATTTTTAAAATACAAGTTAGAATCTCTGTATTTTTTGTTCATTTTTTGCCAAGTTATAAACATCATTAGTCAATAATGTTATTGGAATTGGCTACTAGGACAGATGGCTGAAAATTCAAAGAATAATTGTTTCATCATGATATTCAAATTGAGTTTCTAATCATCTCCTTTATAGGAGCTATCCAACGATTTCTAATTAAATTTATAACCTGTACTGAAATTATATCTTAAAGCTCTTTATGTTTACTTATGTAAGTCTAACTATTTTCCCTTATATTTACTTTTCCTTCATAGTCTTCTCTAGTACTCTAAAAGGAGATGCTTTATTTAAGAAGTTAATTAACTAATACAAAATTTACTCCTATTATCTTCGTATTTAATTAAGACTTTCTTATTTATGTCATTGCCTTAGCAAGGACTACATGTATTCCTGAATATCAGCTTCTTATCTATTTTTCTCAGCTTTTAAACATAATAAACTGCCTGGATTCTTTATTCAGTATTTCAGATCTCCTTTCTTTCATGTCACAAAAGATAAATTCACACTGCTGCACTGACAACATCACAGCTTTGAAAATGCGTCCACCCGTTACCTTATAAATAGTTCAGTCACTTACTTTAATCCATCTTCCTGTGTCCATCACTCTAATGTCAAACTTACAAGTTTAAGAATGCACTTTTCTCAACTTCCAGGTTTAAAGCAAGAGTCCAAAAGCCTATTCACTTAACTAACACACACTGACAGGAGTATCATTTTGACTGACGAAATGCCAATCATCAAGTATTCTCATTTAGGAAGACTTGATAATGGTGTCCTGGCATTGTCGTTTTGATGAATATTCAGTGCTAACAATGGCAAAAGTCCACCTCTCCCAAAAGGTGGGTCAGTCAATAGGACTGGGTGATAACCTTTCCATCTTCACATCTCTGTGTGTGTTCATTATTTCAGTACAATTATCCAATATCTATTCCAGATAATTATAGTTACCTAGCTCTGGTGGTTCAACCCTAGATAATATTTTTGTTTGTTTGTTTTGCTTATTGTTTCACTTATACTAGCCAAATTTTTCTTCACTTAATGTTATCTTTCAGGACCCACAGCTTTGAGTTTATTTAGAACAGAACTAAAAGAAAAGAAACTCACACAACATCCACAGCCCAGAATTTCTAGAGAGAGTGGAAAGTGTCTGAAATGCATGGAATCTGTCTTGAAGAAAATGGATTTTTGATACCAATCTAGGATCTAGAACCTGAGTTTAAAAGTCCTTGGTTTGTCTTAAAGTTAATACAGGATTCTCAGGTAAGCTGAAACAGACACTAAAATTTTATCATTTTACCAATTCCTCTCTTTTGGCAGGATAATCAGAAACGATCGTTTGCGGATCTCTATAGGTTACATATAAGAAATTTAGCCCAACATGCTTTCTAAGCATCATTGCTTTCTAAGACTTGCATAACACTTAGCTTTACTTTCCAACGTGCACTTTTCTTTTTACTTGTGAGACTCTCCTGTGTCAAACAAGAGATGAGGTTGGGAGTTACTGTGAAGATTCCACTCACAGAATAGCTGTTTCAACTAATAAATTAAATTTGCATTCTCCTGTCTCCCAATGTGGAGTTCTATCTCCATCATAATTCATTCAGAATCACCAACAGTCTGGACTAGAATCAATATTTCTCAATACTAACTTCAGAAATGTAAGTTAGATTTTATAGCTTGAACATCACAAGTCTCTTTTGGCTACAACTTCATCATAAACCATACTACTGCAGTTATAAGCGTTTGCACTTAAAATTGCCACATCTCAAATAAGTTTTCTGTTCCAAAAGCCCACTATAAAAAAATCAGTGCAATTTCACTTTCTTTTAATCAATGAATATATAGCTAAACATTTATCTCTTAACATCAAAATATTAATACTGCCCGTTGTACTCACATGGCACCGTGCGGAGGTAGAGGTTGTCACGAATGATTTGCTGAAGCTCATGGTCCACAGAACCCTTTTGAAATCGTAAGTTGAGGTAGTGACGAAGGTCTTTATCAACAATTCCTCCTAAAATAAAAAAAGTTTCTTGGTAAGGCATGTTGGAAAATACTTTAAGCATGTAATTTGATTCTGTCATCAATATACTCAGGAACCCATTAAAAAGATGTACTATTTCAAAGTGTTCTTTTGATCTTCTCAAATATTTACTGCCATAATAATAGAGATAACATTTACTGAGACAATAATTGCCTGCGAAGTCTATGTTCAATGCTTTGCATATATTCCTAAATTTATCCTTCATTTAGAATGAAGCCTATATCATGGTAAAAGATACGTTACTCCTGACTCATACTGAAATATTATAGTATATCTCATTGCATGGCTGAAGAGACTATTTACTCATTTATTCATTGCTTCCCATTCCACCCTACCCCAACTCCTGGAAACCACTTTTCTGTCTATAAATTTGACTATTCTAGGTACCTCATATAAGTAGAATCTATAATATTTGCCGTTTTGTGACTGGCTTATTTTACTTAGCATAATGTCTTAAAAGTATGAAAATATTTTTAAGTTATTGAAAGTTGCTCTAGATTTAGTTAAGTAGGATGGTATAAAAAGTTAAAGAAGAAAAATCTACACAAATATTAATGATTTTACTCCCTTTATGCAATAAATAAAAGTAATTTCTTTATTTTGTAGTATATGTACAAATGTTTTTAACAAGACACAAGGTTGGAAAGAAGGTAGGGTTTTTTTTTTCCTTTTTTCAATACAAACAGTTTTGAGACTGCCCTTAAAATCTAATAAAAAATAAACTGGGCTATAGTTAAAAAAACAATAATGTAGATCTATCAAATACTAACTTGATATTTAAAGATAACTTGTTAGCTTAAAAAGATTTATCTTAAAACCTTTCCTATTTCCATACTGGAAAGAATTAATTATAAATCAAAATACCAGTAAAAATATAAGTAAGAATTCCTGAAACTCTTATTATTTCAATCAAATATACTAGGACAATTGAGCCAAGACAAACAATTAAAGATAGAGGAAACTGGAAATCTGCAATAATCATAAAATTATATTCTCTTCAAATCCTTTTGAATCTCAGAATTAGAATTCATAAATCTATTTGCCCTGCCATGATCACACAAGCTAGCATTATGTGTGCATATGTGCAAAACAAAGAGCTTTGACACAAACAGTAGCTAATAGACTAACATATTGTAACATTTCTAAAGTTTTCAAAATCCATCATTTCAGTTGCCTCCTAATCTGCAGGTATAGTCTCAATAAGATGCCATTTTTAACTGCAAGATATCATTTTCAACTGAATTAACTGTCAAAATTCTTACCCTCCAGATGATGTCTCTTTCATATTTGAGCAAATGGTCTCTTAATCTATTTTTCCACTCAATATAATATGATAGTGGAAATCAAATGACATGAAAGGAAAACATTTTTTGTTGGGTGTATATAAATATTACATCCGGAATGATTGAACATATAATTTTCCAAATTCAAATCCATTTCTCAGCCAAAGAAGCAGAGCAGTCAGAAATAAAAGTCATTTGAAACTGCCATTACCCAATTGCAACAATTACTTATTATTTACATCTCAAATGCCCTGTGTTTCCACGTATCTTGGACTTGCTGGCACCACACAGAAGTAGCTAATAGTTTAGAAATCCTGAAATTCTCTTTTTCTTCTTTATTTTTTTTTTCCAGTCAGCAATACTTGCTTACCCTTACTAATTTATTACACCTACTGAGTAAGCATCATGCCTGCGACTGTTCTCAGCTGTCATTTCTGCCGGATTCTAAGGCTACAGGTCCTTTGGCAAATGCACCCCCTCTTCCTTCTCCTTTTCTTTCAATCTAATATGTGAGATATACCAAGTTATGAGATGCTTTCTGGCATCCTAAGAAAATGCCAACTATAGAACAACAGATGTAGTCTCTTTATTAAGGTAAGCCAGAATCAGTCACCTAATGTAATGTGGATAAGTTCGCATTTTGCAGTTCAGGATGATTCTTGTCCCTAAAAAATATATCAACAGTTTAAACCTTTCTTTTGCTTTACTACAGATATACTGAATTACATTTCTTGAAAGTTAACTATCTAAGAAAACAACAAAAAAGTCTATTTATTCATTTCAACGACTATATCTTTTTTTTCATAGAAGGACCTGTCAAAACTTTTAAGAATCAATATAAAATTTCCCTCACTAATTAAAATGAGTTGTCATAAATTATAACAAAATTTCACATACAATGCCCTTTGTTTTAGAAGATTTCTCTTTCCTCCTATTTCCCAAATACTTTATCATTCTTTACAATTTATCATAAGCATCTTTCAAGTGAGGCAATTTTATTAATCCAGTATTCTTACAGCAAATTCTACTAGTTGCCTACCCAATATTCTTTCCATTATTCTTTCCTTTTAAAAGAGCTCTGATTTAGTTTTGGGCAGAAACCTGCTGAGCCTCAGGACATGGATCACAGTGGTCTGGAAAGTCATGCAATCATTCTCCACTTTCTTAACTGCCTTTGCAGTTTCTAGCAGCTATGTTCTGGCCATTGACACCTAGCCCAGAAGGAAATGGACATGATATCTGAGATGTAGCAGCCATATTCTGACCATGAAGTGAAGTGACAAGCACACGGAAAAATTCACCATGCTCAGGATACTGGAGTAGAGGTTAGAAACAGCCTGCAACCCTAATGGGCTTTACTAAACAGCTAAAAACAATGTCAGTAACTACTATCTTAAGATTTCTTATTATATAGAGAAAAAGTAAACACTCATTAAAAAAACTATTATGGTTGAGTATTCTTTTAAAACTAATGTAGTTGAACAACTGTACATGATCCTAAAACAGACATATATACACACACATATATAAATGTTATACACATATGTATATATACACATATGTATATATACACATATATTTTTGTGTATGAATATATATACATATATACACGTGTATAATACGTGTGTATATGCACAGTATGTGTGTATATATGATGTATAACACATGTATGTATAGGTACAGTATGTGTGTATACACATGTGTTACATGTTTGTGTGATATGTATATACATATATAATGTATACACATACACATACATAGGTATAAAGGCATATTTATCCTTAATTAGAAATTTCAATTAGAGCGGAATTAAACAACAGACATTGGGCAATGATGTCCTGAAAAAGTAAGAGTCTGAGTCTCAAGATGATCTGATTTCAGATTTATAAGTCAGCCTTTTAAAGCAAGCTAAAAAATACAGAGTTCCAAAAAGTATGCAATAAGTGTTTATTGTTAAAATAAATAAGTAATTTGCTATCTTATTTTCCATAGTTATAATTTTTTTATTTTACTTTCAGTGTTTGTAGAGTTTCTCCTCTATCATTTGTTAATGATTCCTAGATTTGGTAGTTCATAGGATGCACACATCAATCGTTTTGTTCAGGAGAGCACTGTCAGCATTAATGTCTCGTTGCATTCTTTAGCCATTTGTACTTTTTCCTTCAAAAAATCAGTGGCTCTTACTTGCTATTATATTTGAATAGCTATTGACTTAATTTTATTTAGCTATGTAAAAAAGTTTTTATTTCCTGTATTTTAATAAATAAGACTGTAGATAAATATTAAATGCCTTCTCAAATGACAGTTTTAGTAAATGAGAGAGCTGGAAGGGATTTGAAGCCTACAATTCCAAAAACATGTACCTAATTTTCATGCTGTATAGTCTGAAGACCAAACTTCTTAGTACAAAGCAGTCAAGTCCTTTCTCAACATGACCTCAATCGAACTTTTGAACTTAACATCAAAATATAACTTAAGAATAGAGCTCAGTTCAAACTCTTCCTATTGCAAACGAGGAAAGTGAAGCTCACACAAGCAGTATGGTATTGGGTTTAAAACAATGGTGGGGTGGGGAGTGAGGGTAGCACTAGGGAGCAACATCTATGGTCTATTTGAGGAGAAAACACCAAGTGCCAACATTCAAAACTGGTCTGCATTTCTAAGGTTTCCATCGTTTTCAGGAGTGCCCTCTGTAGAAATTGACTGCTTTGTCATTTCTATTACTTGAATACCTAGACTGAGGAAACAAAGGAATAAGATGCTGCTTGGATTGGAGGGACATAATCTCCTTGGCATATTCCTTAAGACAATTTGGTAGCCCCAGCCTTGTAGCAAATACCACTCTTTCAAAATTTGAGGGAGAAATATGCTAGTGTCTATAATGTTTGTGCCATGGGGTCTGGTTGCTAGCAGTCCCATCTAGCAAAGTAGTGCCATCCCTCACTCAGACATGACCATCAGCTCAACCTTCCCCTCCCCTTGAGTCTACTGATTCTGGAATGAACATGTATCTTATAAACTTTTATCAGTATAAACTGGAGAAAGCAGTTCACTAACTGGGATAGTAGGGGTTGAGTAGAGAGGGGAAAGGTGGGGATGACCACCAGGGTTTGGCTCATTTTGATGTCATCTATTCATCCTGTGCTTCAGTCAAAGCAGGCTACTCTAATGTTCTAATCATCTTATTTATTTTTGTTTGTTTTTCAATCACACTCCACAAAATACTGTGGTGAATATTTAATTTTAGTTCGTGCTTTACTTTTTGCATTCAACTTTGTTCTTTATCTTGTACCACATTCTTTTGGTAGAAGCACCTTTTTCTTTTCTTTTCTTTTCTTTTCTTCTCTTTTCTTTCTCTTTCTCTTTCTTTTATTGAGTAGCTATATCATTCAGTGCATGTGGTGGGTCTTTGTGCTGAGCTACTCTGCTCTTACTTAGTCAATCAAAATGTTTCTTCCAGGAAATGGCTATAGAAGTAGAGTGTCCAAAGAATGCGAATGCAGCTGCATTCATCTTGAAAGTGACACTCTGAAGAAATTACCCATAATTTCTCCCTCTTGGACATGCAGAATTATCCTGTTCTTGTATTTTTCTGGCCAGCTTCTCCAACTTTCCTTTTGTTGTTTGCAACTAATAAAACTTTATGGATAAGAATGCCTTCCCTTTGCTATTATCCATGGAATTTCT